GGGGGTGACACTGCATTCTTTGGCCTGATATGTGAGATGCTGCCCGTCCATGCTGCCAGAATCACTGGCTTGGGTTCATGCCCACCAGGTGGCATGTCCGCATCAATGTTGCCTGTCTTGCCCCGCCCCTGTCTAGCCCAACAGTGCTGGGGTCCCAAGAGGACTCAGCCTAGAACCTAGCTCTCCCAGACTATGGGGGAAGGCAGAGCCAGACACTGACCCTCCCAGCTAGCAGGGATGGGGCTGGGATCACAGAGAGGGACCTGGGACAACGGGTGGGACGGGGCACTGCATGGAGAAACGAGGGATTACAGCTGGGGTCTTGAAGAATGAGTAGGAGCCTGCCGGACAGAGAAGGGGAAAGCACACGGAGACCTGGGAACGACCTTGGCTTTCCCAGGAGTGATAGGGAGCCATGGGAGGGTTTAGAGCAGGGGAGGGGCAGGGTCAGGGCTGGGGCTGGGGCGGGGGCTGCTGGCCCCACAGCCAGACCCAGCAGGCTTTGTTTATCCTTGATTATTTATACCCAGGGAGGCAAACTTCCCTGTAGTCTGGGCCCACCCGCAGACAAGACATATAAAGATAAAAAAGATCAGAAGCCCTGGAATGTCGGGGGGTGCGGAGGAGCCAGGCCGGCTGCTGCTCCCTCCTGCGGTCGGTCGCTGGGACTCTGGGTGTCGGCGTCTTTCTCCCCCTGTCCCATCTCCCACCTGCCTGTCCCTTTCTCTCTTGCCCGCCCCCCCATCCTTCCCTGTCCCCATCTCTCTTCTCTCTCCCCCCACGCAGTACTATGAGATGTCCTACGGCCTAAACATCGAGATGCACAAGCAGGTACCTGTCCCCCCAACCACCTCCTCCCTCCCTGCCCCCAGCTTCCCCTTGGGCGCCCCCAGGCAGGTAGCAGCCTGCCTCTTGGCTGGCCACCAGGGCAGCAGCCTCCTTATCCTGTTACCTCCTAAGCCTCCCCGCCCCCCTTCTTTTTCCAGGCCTCCCTGGGAGTTCTTTTCTCCCTGAGCAGGGAGGGCAGACCTTCCCCACCACCTGCCACCCTCCCCCCTGTCTCCCCTTCGTGACAGGGAGGGTGACATGCCACTACCCTGTGTGACCCCTCTCACCCCAGCCCCTTGTCCTCTGGCCTTGCTTTGTCCATCTGTGTCCTGACCAGGCCAATAGAGGGGATGTCACAGAATAATGATGCCAACTGTCCCCCACCCCCTCGCACAGAGCGCTTACTACTTACAAGGCGCTTTAGTCATCTACCTGTACCTCAAGTGGCTGAACCCCAATTCTGTCCAGCTTCGTCCTGCACTCGTAGCTGCAGGTGGAGAACCAGGCTCCAGTCCCACCCTTACTGCTGCCTGGGTGCCCTAGCTGATCCCGCCCTGACTTGGCTCCTCTTAAATAGAGAGATCCTTGGGTGTAGAGGCTCTGGGGCTGGTCTGTGCCTGGCCCCCTGCCTGGGACTGAAGCATCTGTCTGTTCCAGGCTGAAATCGTCAAGAGGCTGAATGGGATTTGTGCCCAGGTCCTGCCCTACCTCTCCCAAGAGGTAAGCAGAGCCCAGAGCCTCAGGGGGGGGAAGTAAATGAACCTTGAACTTGCCCTGGCCCCTCCGCGTTGCGGCCAGCTGGGGACAGTGAGCTGGGAGCCCCAGGGCACGTGTCTCCCCTCTCTGGACCTCCCTGACACCAAAGCCAGCCTGTGAAGAAGCCTCCCCAGGCCGGCTAAAGAAGCCCCAGGGGTGCAGGGTATAGGGAGGGGCCTTGCCCTGCCATGGAATTCCCAGCTTGCGTGAGTCATTTCGTGGGGAAAAATGTCAGATGCGCCAAAGCTGCACCAAGAATTTTTTCCCTTTTCTCTTCCTCTTTACCCTCCTGAGACTCACCTGCAGGGTCCTGTGGGCTGCTTCCAGCCAAGGACAAGGGGGTGTGCAAGGAGGGCAGTCACGCACACTGTACACACACAGATAGGCACGGGTGCACAGACCCGTACACACAGGCACGCACATGCGCACACAGGTAGGTGCGCTGAGACGCAGACATGCACAGACACATGTGGACACAGACACAGTGACAGCCACACGTGGCAGCACACAGATGTACTCAGGCACACAAAGCAGGTACACAGAGACACACAGACAGACATGCAGATGCACACAGACGCGTGCACGTGGGTACACAGATGCGTACACAGGTGTACTGATCAGACGCACAGGGACACCCAGGGGAGCCAGGCGCCTGCCTCTTCTTTTACGGGCTCCAGGGCTTTCGGGGTGGGGCCCACCTCATACACCCCCCGTCCCTTCCTGCAGCCAACCTCAGGCCCTGTAAGGCCCAACTTCTGTTCCATGCCACGTTTACCGTCAACGATTTGTCATTTCCTCTTCAATCCTCGTCCATATCTCAGGACCTAGATTTGCGTTTTCCTTTCATACCAGACGCTTCCTAGTAGCCAAAGCAAAAAAGGGTGACTGGTGGATTCTAGCATATGATGGCAGCAGAGGTAGACTTTTGGGGAGAGCTGTGGGATGAAAATCCCCTGAACCCAGACTCATACCCCAGCCCGGCCAGAATTCACTGGGCTTTCCACAGTTGTGGAAGGAGAGGGGTTTCGATTGGCAGATCTTGGAGTACAGTGACTGAACTCTCAGGATCAGGACTTCCCTGTCCAGTTGGGCAGGTTGTACACTGCACAAAGGCCCATGTCTTTTACTTGGTGGCTTTGCACGTAGGATACGTCGTGATCCAGGATTTTTCTCAGACTCACCCAAAGGCCTTTTCCAGAGTTTCTGACATCAACACCTTTGAGTTTTCTGTGCTTTTCTATTTATCCAGATGAAGAGACTGAGGCTCAGTGAAAGGAAATAGCTGAAGAGAGGGAACCACTGGGGAGGGGGACGTTAACCATGCACTTGGTAGTAGGGTTTCTCCTGGGCTCCATGTCCCCCCAGCCCCATCAGGATCAGGACGGATCACCTGACTCCTCTCCCCTCCCCCTTTCAGCACCAGCAACAGGTCTTGGGAGCCATCGAGAGGGCTAAGCAGGTCACCGCTCCTGAGCTGAACTCCATCATCCGAGTACGTCTGGGGACCTGGGTGGGTGGCTGGGCAGACAGGTGATGGACGGGTGGCCCCAGGGGCAGCTAAGACTCCCCTCCCTCCACTCTGCAGCAGCAGCTCCAAGCCCACCAGTTGTCCCAGCTTCAGGCTCGGGCCCTGCCACTGCCCCCACTGCCCGTGGGGCTGCAGCCCCCTTCGCTGCCGGCGGTCAGTGCGGGCACCGGCCTCCTCTCGCTGTCGGCGCTGGGCTCCCAGGCCCACCTCTCCAAGGAAGACAAGAACAGCCACGACGGTGATGCCCACCAGGAGGATGACGGCGAGAAGTCGGATTAGCAGGCGGCTGGGACGGGAGGGTGGGGGGACAAAGGGGAGACAGAGGCACGGAGAGAAAGGAATGTTGAGCGCAAGACAGTGTAGCTCGGGATGGCTAAACTCCAGTAGTATTTATGGTAGCCGCCTGTGGGGTCCTGCACCTGCTTGTGTGCCACCCCGTAGCTTTGCTCCAAACCCACCCAGTCCCAGCCTCCCTCCCTCCCTCCCCCCCTGCAGCCTGAATAGGTGAATACCTGCTCATCCCACAGAGGAGGCAAGCTGAGGCCTGGAGGGGCAAATGGGAGACCAGGTCAGATGGGAGCAAAACCTCAAGAAATCCAACACCCCCGGCACTTTCCCGTTTCGCACATGTGTAACTGACAGTCTGCTCGCTGGGCCCTTCGGGGCACACACCACAACCTCCCACCCTGGCACTGCATGCAAACACGATGCTAGCCGTCCTTTCCCACCCCGGGCACCCTGCCTCTCCCCCCTGGGACCCACCACCCACCCCGCTCACCACCTCCGCTAGTCCCTGACACCCCCGTGCCCACCTGGGCCTCCCCCCTCGCCCATGAAAGAGGAGGCAAAGGGAAGCTAGGTTAGCTGGAACAAACAGAGAAGGGGGGCGGGTGACCCAGGCTTTCCCTTCTCCCCTTCCCAAATAAAGATGAGGGTACTAAAGTTGTCTTGGTTTTTCTTTTTTCTTTTTTTCCAGTATACTAGCTTGTCTTTTAAGAAAGGGGATATTAAAGACAAAAAATGTTTGGAAAAAAAGCAACAC